CAGTGTAGAGGGAGCTTTACTCTGTATCTAACCCCGTGCTGTCCCTGCCCTGGGAGTGTTTGATGGGCGGGGGACAGTGTAGAGGGAGCTTTACTCTGTATCTAACCCCGTGCTGTCCCTGCCCTGGGGTTGTGTGATCGATTGGGGTTGGGGGGAGACAGTGTAGAGGAAGGTTGTAAGTGGAATTGGAGCTGATGCAGACAGCTCCTTCAGATGCGACGTGGCGCTGACACACTGACGGTGCTCCATTCCCATCCCGGCCACAGACAGAAACGCTGACGTCCATCCGCTCCCTGCACAAGTATGTGGAGCCTGCCCAGCTGACCCCAAGCTTCGCTGGAGGGTTCCCGTACAGCAATGAAAAGTGGGTTCGCTATCGACTGGTGAGTATATTGTATTGTTGCTGAGTTTGGATGTGGAATGCCGAATCCCCCACAGACAGAGACACACCCACACATGTACACTCTCTCTGTCTCACTCATACACACTCATACACACTCTCTCTCTCTCACACACACACACTCATATACACATACACGTACGCTCTCTCTCTCTCTGTCTCACACATACACACTCATACACACTCCCTCTCTCTCTCTCACACACACACACTCATATACTCTTTCTCTATGTCTCACACACACACTCATACACACTCTCTCTGTCTCACACACACACACTCATACACACTCTCTCACACACACACACTCATATACACACACACACGTACACTCTCTCTCTCTCTGTCTCACACATACACACTCACACACACACACACACACACACACACACACACACTCTCTCTCACACACACACTCACTCACTCACACACATGCACACACACCGGCTATCCTACATTTGTCACAACAAAGTCAGAATTTCTAAAAGAAAGTGATGATGACAGTTATTTATGTTGTTATAGTTGTTTTTAGCCCAGTATCTGAATCATATCATCCTGGTTCCTTAAGATAAAGAACAAGTTTAGCGTAAACAAAACACAATCACTCAACAATGTAAAGCTTATTAACAAAACATTCCAACTCTGCAAATAACTACCCTTGTTGAAACCTAGCACACATACAACTTCCAAGCGTGGGAGAAAATACAAAATTTCCGTTGGGGTTCTGTTACACAGCTAACCGTAACAGACCTTACTTTGGCTGCGTTGCATTCATGAAAATAAAAAAGATTATTCACAAACTGTCCAAATGTTTGTCTGTCACTGAAGTCATTTTGCCCAGAAGCTATTTGCGCTGTGCTGTCTTTCCAGATCGTTGATAGCTGGGCAGCTGGCATTTGCCTGTAATTGTGGTGTTGGTTTCGAACTCTGTTTTACGAAGCCCCAACCCGTGGTGATGAGGTCTTCCATTGGGTTTATGACTTACTTTGTGATAAGCAGATCTGTGGAGATAGGAGAGAGTGTGCTTATGTTACTGCATTAGGCAGGCTGTCTCTCTCAGTGTCTGCGTTCAAATGAAATAGGTTTTATCGCAGCCACAAACTGGAATTTGCTATGAAACAATTGGAAATAGTGACTCCAGTCAAGACGCGATACTTTTCCCCTTCTTCAGGCAGTCTCATTTGTCTTGCAAAGTGTTCACTGCAAGGAGTACCAGACATAGAGACCTGTCCATTCAAAGATATTCAAAATTAAAACTACTGAGAACATTTACTCCCTGACAGGAGGCCAGGGTGAGAGGTCAGGACAGGGAGTGAGTGTGGGAGGAGGAGTGAGTGAGTGTAGGAGGAGGAGGGGGTGTGAGTGTAGGGGGGTAGTGAGAGTAGTGGGGTACTGAGTGTAGCGGGGTACTGAGTGTAGCGGGGTACTGAGTGTAGCGGGGTGCTGAGTGTAGGAGGGGGAGTGAGTGTAGGGAGGAGTGAGTGTAGGGAGGAGTGAGTGTAGGATGGGGAGTGAGAGTAGTGGGGGAGTGAGTATAGAAGGGGCAGTGAGGGGGAGTGAGTGTAGGAGGCGGAGTGAATATAGGAGGGGCAGTGAGGGGGAGTGAGTGTAGGAGGGGCAGTGAGGGGGAGTGGGTG